TTTTTAAGTGTCATTTAAAACAACCACCACTAGGACAAGCAGTTGTGTGGGGAAGACATGAGCACTTCCTAACAAGGACTGTTCTAAATGCTGCCTGAGCCTAGAGATGTGGCCAGTAGCATCAGGCAGGCCAGGTGAGACAAGTCTCCTGTCTCACCTTCCTCTTCTGCCCCAAGATGTCCCCACACCTGCTTCTTTGTGCCTCATGGGTGAAGTGACAGACAGTCCTGTGTACAGTGCCAGCATATGGCAAAAGCCCCTATCAAAGTCGGTGTAGAGCTGGGAGTCAACCAGCCTGCTCAGAAGCACACAGCATGTGCAGGCCATGTCTTGCTGGGTCACCTTGAATGAGTATCTGTGTTCAGAGCTCAGATCAGGGGCACCAAACCCCCTTTCTTGCTTGTACTTCAGTGTGGACTGGTGGTATTCCCAGTCCAAGAGACATGCAGACACATGCTCGGGCTGTGGCTTCCCTGGAGACTTGTTTTTGCAGAATAAACAAAGGGCAGAACTGATGTCATCCACTGTTCTGGGCGAAGGTCTGCAGGATGGGAATAGAGGGCACAGTGTACCTGCCTGGCCTGCTCATTGCTCCTGATAGATGATGAGAGACTCTGCCTTGTGTTTTTGTTTTCTCTGGAAATGGGAATACCAGGGATACAATTGTCCACAGCAGGGAAGCATTGGAAAGCATCCCAGGAGCTCATGACCCCGTGAGCATTGAACTTTGCTGAGAAGCAGAGGTCATGGAGCAGATGGTCCCACCTCTCCCATGGTGGGGCCAAGGCAGCAGTCGCCATTCCAGAACTATGTTCTGGCCCAAAGAGTCCCCGTGGCTTGCAAGCAGCCTATTCAGATGTGCTCCAGAGTCTAGGTTGGTATGGTTGGTGATCACAGTGAGGTGTCTGATGCAGCTGACAATCAGGAGCAGTGGAGGCTGAGGTGGTCAGGTGCATCTCCTTGTATGCCAAAATGCAGCATAATCTTCACCAGCTACACACATAGATGAATGCTGCCTGGGGCCACCAAGCTGCCAGAGTCTGGGTAGCTGGATTTCATTATGCAGACCATCAGTGGGCTACTACCATCTGCCATTATACATAGCATCAGCAAACCAGGGCCTCTGAGTATCTGTAACAATGATATGAAACAGTAATTTGAAGTAGACATTGGTAGACATTCTAATCTGTATCCAGAATACCTTATAAAAAATGAGAAAGGGCCTTTACAAACCACGAGTTATACCAGACCCTGCCTGACACCAAGCCATGAGTTTCCCAAGTCCCAGGAGCAAACACCTGCTTTCCTAAGGAAACCAGGGCACAAAGATGGGCAGCTTCTTGGTTAAACAGCCTGGTTAAACAGGCTCTGTCCAGAAGGATAGCCCCAAAGCCCTCTGAAGGAGGCAGGTCCTTCTTCACTATGAGGAGGCCTGGCTCAGAGTTAAGGACAATTTTTAAGCACTCCAAATACATACATTATATAAGGGATTATCTATAAGAAAATGTTCCTTTAAAATCTATTTTCAAGACCTGTAGCCACCAGAGCTTTATAGGGCCAGGCTTCTCTTTCCTCTCTCATTGAGGACATCTTGAAACCAAAGTTAAAAAAAAAAAGAAGAAGAAGAAGGAAAATAGGATTTTGGACATATGCAGCTAAAAAATGAAATTCTTTTAATTGTTTACTTTGTAGAAAATAGAAAATTTGGCAAACTGCTGATGAAGAAACTGACAATTTTGCTCTTTAAAAAAGGTTTTTATTTTAGAAACCAAAATTGGAATTTTAGGAAGAAGACATTTTATTTTTGAGATAGTTTGGAATTTTTTTACAAATAAATTCCATGTGTGATGGTTTATATTTAAGTGAGATAAACACATGGCTGTCTGAATCCCAGCATGCTAATCTACAGGCTGCAATGTACCTTGCTCACTCACAGCAGGTTCTAACAAAGACAGGGATGGTGTGGTCTCTCTACCACAGGTGCTGGGAAAGAGTCCAGGTGAAGCCTGCAGCTGACTCCTTTCCCTAAGAAACTACCAGAGTCACACATATTCTTTTTTCTTAGGTGACACCTGCCTATTTCCCAATAGAACACTCAGCTGCATAGGACTGCAGCAGATGACCTACAGTGGAGGCATGGCCACACGAGGTCACCAAGATCCTGCTTGTTTGCTTTCACTGTTCCTGTGGGCCAATGTCTTATACTGAAAAGTGAGAATTGTTCTGTTGGTCAATATATTTGGGCCCTAAAAGTAGCAGCTAACTCGTCAGTGCCTTTAGGTTAGAACTTCTGACACATAGTTAAATAAACATGGGAGCTGGAAACATAGGATTAAGATTTGGTTGTTAGAGTCTAGCCAGCACCAGAAAGGTCAAAAATTAGGGGACCTGGTTTAATGGGTCTTACTGCTTAAAATCACAGGGTCGCTAACAAAAGAGACACCTATGGTGCCTCAGACTCCATTTTATGGGAAATGCCTGGTAACTTTTCAAAAGACAGACAAAATATATCCATTTAATTAGATACTTAATAAGAAATTTAGAACTCAAATTCGTGAGCATAATTTCATGTGTTAGAGCAAAATCCAGTCACATGTAGTTTGGGGCTGACGACTAGCTTTAAGTTTGGTCACATTTGTAAGTCCACAGCCTTCTGATCACGCTGTACTGTGCAGTCAGTTCACACCTCCAAGATCTCACCATCCTGGTGTCTGGGCCTCCACAGCTGCTGCTGCTGCTTGACACAGCCTCACTGTGGTATCTGGTGATCTTGGGGATATTCACATCACAGATGCAAGTGATAGCTTCTGGTATGTTCTGTGCACAGGAATTCAACCAACTGAGGGAAGGAGTTGAGTCACACATAGCAAACCATTGCTCAGCTGCTTCTAGAAACTCACTTCTGGGCCTGGCTTAGTGAGGATGTTAGGATAGTCCCTGGAGAAGGTGAACCCACAATGCTCACATATGCTGACCACAAGGCTGGCTGTGCATCTAGCACCAGGTGTTACTTCTACAGGTAGTGATGACCAATTTCAAAACAACCACTCGGGTGCCACCATTCTTGTCACTTACTGGTTTGTGATCATAGCAAGAGCCTTCTTTTCTTTCCAGTCCTGAATTGAGTAGCCAAGTGCTTCCTCTTTCACGGGGCCCTCAGAAACACCTACCAGATGAGAATATCTGACTGAGAAGGACAGGGTCTCAGCTACAATGAGGCTTCTCCTTCTTGGGCCCTGCAGCCTTGAGGTTGCCCTTTCTGGTTGTGCCCCTAGCATCAGCCTTCTTAGCATCAGGAAATCTCTCCTTCATATCTAGCTTCTGGATTTTCCGCTAGCCTTCTTCCAGATGACAGGAGTTTTCTTAGTTTTTTGTTTTTTTTTTTTTTTTTTTTTGGTCTTTTTGAGACAGGGTCTCCCTGCAGCCCCAGCTGTCCTGGAACTCACTATGTAGACCAGACTGGCCTTGAACTCACAGAGATCCACCTGCCTCTGCCTCCCAAGTGCTGGGATTAAAGGTGTGCACCACCACGCCCGGCTAGTTTTCTTAGTTTTTAAGAGAATTTTCTTTCTAGCTTCTATGACTATTTGCAATTTGTTCTTCTTTTCTTTTCTCCAGCCTTCCCTGCCGGGGATCAGTTTCTTTTTATCATCAATCTTTCGTTTTGTACAGGCACACAAGTGAAGAAAACCAATATCAACATCAAGGCTATTGAAAGATTGTTGGGGGAGGGGGACAGGGCATGAGCTGGCCACCTCTCAGAATCCTGCTGGTAAGGGCATGGGTCCGAGAAATGGTCAGCCTTTGAAGAGGGGGGTGTCGCAAAGAGAAATAATTTCCTGCCCAGGTTTTTGTTGGCAAGGAAAGGCATGAACCTCCCAATCCATGCAGAGTAGGCCACAGTGAGGTGCAGACTCCACAGGCCCAGCATGCAGAACAGGCACGTGTGTATCTCGGGAGGAGGGCCATGGGAAGGAAGTGAGCCCTTTGATCTGAGCCCAGAAGTGCTTTCTTATACAGCCTCATGTGTCAAGTATAAAAGGCTTAACATAAAAATAGATGTAATATGTTTCTCTGACCTGAGAAAATGTTATCTTCAGAGTTTCCAAACACCCCCATTTATTCCCTTTCATCTTTTAAAAACGTTGCTTTAGACCCAGCTCCTCAGCATATCCCTGGCCAGTTAATTCATCCAACATGTTTTATCTTGCAGTAAACTGTCACACCCTTACTGGTGCAAGGTGCCGTGTCTCACCTCATCGGTCACTGACAAGAAACAAGCAGAAACTATTCTCTAAGAAACTCCTTCTGTCAGGTCCCTGAGTGCTGGTTAGAACTGTGGTATTTGCACACAGAGAAGAGTTGAGAGTCTGTCTTCTTGGGAACGAGTCCAAGATAGAACTAATTCTCTGCCCTAACAGTTGGAAGACAAGATAATAGAGAGTCACTTAGGGACTTGGTTGGGAAAGTTTAAGAAGCCCTCTAGTCCAGCCTTCTGTCTATTTCTGTGAAAGTTCCCTGCAATCCAGGACCACTAAGCTCTAACCCTTGTTTTCTGCCCTGCCAGCTGCTTAAGCCTTCTTTCTTTTTCAAATTCTCTCTGCTGCAGACTCTTCATCCCACCTCTTACCCTCTAAATCATTGTTTGGTTTCCTGGGGGCCAGTTTGGAGGTGTCTGTGCAGAGTTAATTTTAGGGAGGCGACCACACTTGCACTTGACTTCAAGTGTGCATGGAACCCATTCTACCTGGACGGTGCTGGAAAGTGAAGCAATTCTAAGTCACTCCAGTGTTTCTGCATGCTGAGTCCGTTATAGCAGTCCAGCCAGAATTCTGACTTTGGCAGGGAGGGGAAGTTGCAAGGCAGACAGTTGGACAGACTGGCAATTACCAGAACAGCAGCCCTGGGCTTCCTGATACTGCAGTGTGGTTTTACCTCCTACTCTTTTCTGCCAGTGTGTGATGTGCACCTCTCACTGTCCCCTCTCTGGATTGTTTCAGAAGAGGCAGACCATTACAGCTTTGGGGCAGGCACTCTGTCAAGGAAGAAGAAAGTGCTGGTGACACTGAGGGATGAGGGCCTGCGCCGGCGCACCCACCTTGACATCAGCATGCCGCATGACTTCCGCCCTGTGTCCTCCATCATTGATGTGGACATCCTCCCTGAGACACACCGCCGAGTGAGACTCTACAGACATGGCTGTGAAAAGCCCCTGGGCTTCTACATTCGAGATGGCACCAGTGTTCGTGTGACCCCCCATGGGCTAGAGAAGGTACCTGGCATTTTCATTTCCCGAATGGTGCCTGGGGGCCTCGCAGAGAGCACAGGGCTGCTGGCTGTGAATGATGAAGTCCTGGAGGTAAATGGGATCGAGGTGGCCGGAAAGACACTGGATCAAGTCACAGACATGATGATCGCCAACAGCCACAACCTTATTGTTACTGTCAAGCCTGCCAACCAGAGGAACAACGTGGTCCGTAGCAGCCGCACATCCGGCAGCTCTGTCCAATCTACAGACAGCACCACCAGTCACCACAGCCTGCCAGCTGCCCATGTTCTGCAGAATTTCCACCCTGAGGAGATGGAGAGTGATGAAGAAGCTGACATCGTCATTGAGGGGGCCCTGGAGCCTCAACACATTCCCAAGACACAGGGTGTACCTCCAGGCAGCCTCTCAAGGGCCAATGGCACCAGTCTTGCCCACAGGCTGCACAGGGACCTGGCCCTGCATAGCTCTGGGAGGGAGAGCAATGGAAGCCTCCACAAATTTCTCAGCTCCCTGAAACCAGAACCTCGCAATAGCCTGATCCTCCCACAAGGAGGGGTGGAGGAACACGGCCCAGCTATCACACTCTAGGGTTCAGGCTGAGTCCCAGACAGACGGTGTTTCAGCAGGACCTGAGGTGGAGAGAGTATTGGGATAGCTGGTGACACTATTGGATGTATAGTGACTCCAAAAGGAAAATTTCCAAAGGGAAATATTTTTAAACTTTTATGCCAATTTTAAAAATAAGAAAAATAATTGTGGACTTCATCTCCCCCCCCATTACCCCCACAACCCTCTTCTTTATTTAAGTTTTTGGACAGAAATACTGTCTATTTTTATAGGATTTTCTTCTTCCCCTAGAACTTAAAATATACCCAACTGCACACATTGGGCCAGGCCTGAGTATAGTCCCAGTGCTGTCGCAAGATGAAAGAAGATACCTAAGTACAGAGAATACTTTATTTCAATTTTTTTAAATGCTTCATTTTTAAAAATGAAGCTTTATAGATAACTTTTTAAAATAATAGAGCCTCATGTTTTTAACTTAGCTCACACAAAAACATTTTGTGATGTGTGAGCCCTCTACTGACCCACAGTGTGGCTGAGACAAGAAGATAGGAACTGTCTAAGGATGGATACTCACACCTATGACAGGTTTCATCACAGAGGAAGAATTTCACTTTTCACATTGTTTGCAGCCAGTTCAAAAAGCCAGTACTCAAGAAGCACTGGGCTGCGGTGCCTTTTGTCTGTACAGCTATCCCAGCCTGTGACACTCAGGCAGCCCTGCTGACTGGAAGGTGAGGCTCAGTGATGCCATGTGGGATTAAAAGCCGATGTTTACATCAGTGTTTTCTTTGGGCTGACTGGCAAGGACAGTGTTAAGTTGTCTTCAGGAGAAATGAGAGATGAGCAACACCACAGCCTCTGAAGCCCCACAGCAGTGGGGTGGATGTGCCTGTTGCTGGCTTTGCTTCTAAAACAACCAGTTCCTTTTATAAGGCAGGGTTAGAGCATACTAATGCCCATTCCTAGAATAGTGCTCAGTGGCAGGAATTCTCTTCTTTTAACTAGAACAGGCCTGTCAAAATGCAATGGTTTTTGACAAATATTAACACTTTCCTTTAATCCACTTAAATTTTTTATGAAGTGTGAAGTGTGTTTTATATTTGGATACAGTGTCAGGGAGAAAAATGTCACTGAGAGATTTAGTCACTGAGAACAAACTGATCAAATGAATCCTTTATATAAATACAGGGTTGTTATCTTCCAAGCTTTCCAGGTGTGAGCCCCACCCTCTGCCCTTATGGTCTAGCACCACCTGCTGGTCAGAGGCAGAACTGCCCTGATTTCCTGTCTGATGGAAACAGTGCATCTCACATCTTCATTTGTCCAGAATTTGTTGAAAAAAGTTCATTCTTTTCCATTTGGGAGCTATTTATTGGGCTGAAGTAACTTTTGCTAAGTATTTGTTTCCTGGGCCTATGTCTGAGCTTCTCTGTGTGCAGTGATTCATTAATTGCTTATTCCTGAGTACAAAATGAGTAAGATGCTTCCCTAATGTCTCAGAGAGGGACCAGATCCACAGACCCATAGGGAAAAGCATCTCGTATGTTACTGAAGGAGTTTGAAAATTTTTTTTTACTAAGACAAGTATTATAGAACCAAAACTCTGCTCAGTTACTACCACAAAGAAATGTTCTCTGGTAAGTTATGGCTGGGTATTTACTGTCTGTTGGATAAGTGGGTTTGCTACCAAGGAGAAAAGTTATATTTCTTATAATGTTTTAGGTTGTTGAACAAATGTGAATCAATTTTTCAAGAAAAATAGTCTCTGACCTTTGAGCTGTTGCCTGTAAGAGGAATTACATGCTGTTCAGCAGTTACTTGAGTGTATTTTTCTACCAAGATCTATACTCCTACCATTTTATTTCTTCTTTTGAAAAACTCTCATTATATATTAAAGTTTTTGGTTTTATATATCAGAGAATAAAAACTTTCTTGCTTTTGAATTAATAAATGTGTTACTGGTGTATTTCAGTTGTGTTCTGAATAAGGGCAAGATGAAGTGACCATCAGAAGGGACTGACTGGCATTTGTCAAGACCTTCCAGTTTTTTTTCCCACTTAACCCTTACACATTCTCTGTAAGTATTATCATTTACATTTTGCAGAGAGAAAAATGGACCCATGCTCAGAGAGACTGATAGGTAGTCTAGAATATTCCTTTGATGTCTGTTTGGAAAAGTTTTTCTGAATTCTTACAGAGCACCCCCTAAATTTGCCCTGATTTGCAGAGTTTTCATTAACATAATTCTGACATTACTAGAACTATAATGCTTTCATCAAGATTCGCTCATATCACAAAGCCCATGTTGGCCCTGAGCACCAATCAGTAATCCTCAGGAGGTGCCTGACAGGAATGTACAGGCAGTTTTCACTGTATTAATCTTCATGTGACCCTTGATTACAGCTAGGGAAACACAAGCACCTGAAAAGTTGATCTTTACAGTCTGATGCAGTGGGGTGGCCAGGTAGGTGCTAGCATTGGATACATTCTCCGAAGTTGTCAAGTTTCACAACCACTCACACGACACAGTGTGAGGAGCAGGTGCTTGAGTGGGAACAGAAGCCACACGCCTGGCCTGAGCATCCATGGCACAAACCAAGAGTATAGATGCTTCCTGGGAGCCAGCTTCTAGCCAATGAAGAGGTTTTGATCACAAGTCAGGGAGGTCATTTAGTGTCTTTGGTTTTATATGAAAGAATCTTAGTGGTTTCTATACAACTGAAGAATGAAGAGTTTCTGCCAACACAGATCTGACTGCTACTTGGGGTTTTTAAGAACTTCAGCTATCAAAATGGGCTCAGTTTTCCTTGATCATATCTGTGGTGCCCATCTGTTTTCTTGTACGAACTATGATGCAGTCTTACCACTTGCTCAGAACTTATCTCCACTCTGTTCATAGGCATCACTAGTAAAGTGTTTCTTTTGAAGAAGGTGGTTAACTTATAACACAGTGAAGTTCAAGATCATCAAATCATACTCACTGGTCACCATGTGGTTCAAAATGCAAGCTACAAAAACTACAGTAGCAAATTGGGTGGAGATGAGTTTGCCACTGAAGACAGCCAAGCATTATAAGGAAAGCTGTATGATCCTGAAATAAGCTCTAGTTCAAGAGGGTGAGTTCTTTGAAGAGCATGTGCCATCTGATAATGAGAGGAATAAATGAAATCCATCTTTTCCCAGGTCTCCTTTACTGAAAACAAGTCCCTACACTGTCACCTCAGCAGCGAGTCAGTATTTTTTATTTTTTTATATTTATATTTTATTTTTTAATTTTAATTTACATTTTCCACCCAACAGCAGTGTTAAAAAATATGATGCATGTGCTGTTATTTTTCCCCTGTATTCACATCTTGAGGCTGAAGAGAGTATCTGAAGCTACGTGGTGGGCTGTGAGAAAAAATGGGTACTTGAGTGAAAAGACGTGTTTTGTGTAAATTTGGAATGGAGAACATGTCAAGAGCATGATTTTTTAAAACTTATTTAGGCTTCATTTTTGTAAATACTTTGTTATTTTTATGTGTATGAGTGTATTGCCTGCATGAGTGCTGTGCAATACCAATACCCACAGATGACAGAAGAGGGCTTCAGATCCCCTGGAACTGGAGTTAAGGATGGTTGTTAGCCACCATGCATGTGCTGGGACTTGAACTTGGGTCCCCTGCAGGAGCAGCCAGTGCTCTTAACTGCTGAGCCATTTCTCCAGCCAGATTTGGGCTTCATTTTAAACCTTTATTTTAAGAACCAGTTATTTCACTTGACTTTCTAGTTTCAGAGAAGAGAGCCAAGTCTGCCAAGTATTGAGGGCTCAGTGTTGGAACGGCTGTGCTGGTTGGGGTGCTATATTCATGGGGATGACCTGTTGCACCAGAGGCCATTTTTCCTTGCCAATCCTGTCCAAATATGTCACTATTCCTAGTTACTCATCACCATATAATTGGCATTAATTGGAAACTTTATGAAATGGGACAGTACTGTTTAATTATCTTTCATGTAACTTAAGCATATACAAATAATATAGTTGGATCTTTTTGGTCTTGTGTTGCTCTTAAAAAACAGAAAAGCAGAGTATTTGATAAGTAATTTTCATAGTAATTGTGTTTCTTTTCATGTTTTAAGCTAAGTTGACCGTGTAGAAGATAATTGTATAAATGAGAGCATACTGTTTAAACCCACAGCACTGCATTTAGGAGACAGTGGAATGGACTGTCAGTGTGCACCCATTCAGAAAACATTTAATTTACATCTGTTCTAGAAGGGAGGATGAAGTAGCTTATCTAAAAATACTGCTTTGCAAAGCACTACAGCTCCCCCCAGCCTTCCACTGATTTGCCAATTCTGATGAGCTAGTACCATCAAAGAACTAGGTCTCACATTAGCATGGTCTTTGCAGATCTTCCCATAGAAGCTCGGCTATTGAAACTGAATTGTCCTTGGTACCTTCAAGTAGAAAGGATTAGATTTTATTTGGGGTGTTATTTTAGCCTAAACTTTATGACATTAACTAAATTATTATTAACCACTCTTGGTATATTGTGGTGGTTTGAATGAGAAATTAGGGAATAGGCTCATGTATTTGAACACTTAGTCCCCAGTTGGTGGTGCTGTTTGGGACCTTTAGGAGTTGGAACCTTGCTGAAGAAAGTGTCACTAGAGGAGGGCTTTGAGGTTTTATAGCTTTGCCCCCCACCCCATGTTTGTTTGTGTGTGTGTGTGTGTGTGTGTGTGTGTGTATGAGATATCATCAGCTAGCTTCCTGCTCCTGCCACCATGCTTCCCCTGCCTGTTGCTCTTCTTTCCAACATGGTGGACTCTAGCCCCTCTGGAACCTTAAACCAAAAACAAACAAACAAAAAAAACACCCTATTTTTTGTCAGGGTATTTTATCACAGCAACAGAAAGTAACTTATACAGAAATTGATACCAAGTTTGGGATGTTTCTGTGATCCACCTGACTGTGTATCTTTTATGATTTTGGACAATTTTGTGGGATAGTTTGGAACCATGGGCTGGAAAAGCCATTGAATGTTGGAAGCAGAGCTTCATGAGCCATTTGTACTGGGAGCTTGGAAGATAATGGCAAGATAATGCAGACAGAGGCCTGGTTTGTGGGGTTTCAGAGAACAAGGACTATCAGAAACAGGGCTAGAACCATTCATGTGATAATTTGGCAAAGGATCTGGCTGCATTCTGCCCATGTCTTGAGAATTTACATGAGACTGAATTTAAAAGTAATGGACTTATTTCTTTGGCAGAGGAAATTTCAAGACAGCATAACATTGAGTTGTGGAAGGGTTATTACTGATTACTCTTACACAGGTCTACAATGAAAAAGGACAAGTTGGGCAAAAAGAAATTTTAAAATGCAGTTTAAAGAGGAAAAGAGCAATAGGAAACAAAGTTGCAGTCAAGTCATGCTCTAAAAAAGACATTGTAATTGGTAAAGAGATCAGCACCCTTAAAGAGAAGTCTCAGGCTTTGCACTAGAACAATGGGAAAGGTACCCTGAGGGCCAGTCCCCACACATCTAAAACTCTAATAAATGAAAGGAAAGCACCCAAGAGGTTTCTCCTAGAAATCAAATATGTGAGGAAATGTTTTACCAGCTTCAGCATACAGAAGCTGATATAATTATGGTCCACAGGGAAAAGGGTCTCTCTCAAGCTGCCACCTGAGCTTGGCAGTGTCATCCTTGTGGTACTGGTTTTGGAGACATGAAAGATGGAAGAGGGTCATGGATTCTTCCTCCATAGTTTCAGAGAGCCACTAAGGCCAGGTAATGTGGCAGAGTTGGAGTCTCTGTGAGGAGGCCCTGAGAGGCTATTTTGTGAAGCTGTGAAGGTGAAGCTTGGGTTGCAACGGTGACCCCAAGAGGCTGGTGGAGATGCTAGAGTCATGAGATATTTGCTAAGGAGAGCTGCATACAGGGGCATGGAATCAGCCCCAAAAGAGATGCATGTTGCAGGCAGCAAAGCTGGAGGGATGGAACCATCTGAGCCATTTGAAACTGAAGCCCCAGTTACTGGAAATGGAGCTATAGGATTTACTGTTTGCTCTAGTGGGTATCAGTCTTGCTTTGGTCCAATCCTTTTTCACTGTGCTCCCATTTCTCCCTTTTGGAATGGGACTGTGTGTTCTGTGCAGTTGTATGTTGGAAGTATGTCATTTGTTTTTTGGTTTCACAGTTGAGATTGCCTTTAGCCTCAGTAGAGACTTTAGACTTTGAAACTGTGTTGAGACTGTTAAAGACTATGGGAACTACTGAAGTTGGACTAAATGAAATGTCATAAACCTCTGGAGACCAGAGGTGAAATGTGGTGGTTTGAATGAAAAATGTCCCCCATAGGTTCATGTATTTGAACATCTGGTCCCCAGCTGGTGGTACTGTTTGGGGAGCTTATGAAACCTTTAAGAAATGGAGGAAGCATGTCACTGGGGAAGGCTTTGAGGTTCTATAGCTTCATCCCACTTCTTGTTCTCTCCTCTCCTCTCCCCACCCCCTCCTGTGTGTGGATGAAAATGTGGCCAGCCAGCTCCTGCTCCTGCTGCCAGGCTTCCCCTGCCTGCTGTCATGCCTTCCCCCCCATAATGAACTCTGTCCCTTTGGAACTGTAAGCTAAAATTAGCTCTTTACTCTTTTAAGTTGCTTTTGATCATGGAATCATACCACAGACCAGAAAAGTTAACTAATACACTAATATTTGCTTTTGATGTACTAGGTAAAAGTAAAATTGGTTACTTGTTCTAGTGTGTGAATAAATGCTTGAGTTCTCAATTCCCAGGTCATTATATGTCAAGAAATTTTGTTAAATTAGTGAAATCTTTCTGTTGATATTAGATGTGACTTCTGAATACAGTTAAGTTCC